TATGCAGTGTTCCTCGCATTTTTATATTATCACGAGCTCGGAGACGTCAAAGGACGTGACAGAGCACTTCGCTGCCTGATAGTGCTAAAGTATGACGAGGAGGAAGGAGGACACATACTCTGGATAGTCCACACGCTACTGGGGATCTGCTACCAAACTCTGGGGGACCGCCATAGGGCCATACCTACACACAATGGAATCCAGTCACGGAAAGGATCCAAGCCTTAATTTTTTTGATAACAATATCAATTTCAAGACCTATATCTCTCCTTTCAAAATCATCTAAAAGTTATTTGTGCCGTGTTAAAGTATGGGAAACGCTAGCGGCAACCTAGCTAGTACTAATATTAATACCCGGCCTCGCAATATATATAAAAAAATCTCTCGTTGCAGAAAGCTACGTTATCGCAGCTAGCGGCAACCAACTACACTGTACGTGAATTATAGAAGCCATGCTTGATATTTTTTTACAATTGTACATTAACATCGTAACTTATATGCCTCCATGTGAATGAATAGTATGCCTGACATAGATCGTTATAGAGCAGGAAAAAAGGGCCCCAACGGGCCTAAATCTTGTAAAAGTGGACTTAAATACAGCTACAGACAAAATATCAGTGTTTGATTCAAAAGAACCCATTAAAAGATGTAAACATATGACATATGAGACCTTGAAAGTCAAACAAGGACATTAAGTTGGACAGACTTTACAGCCTTTTGATCCCAGTATGCTTCTGACCAAATATCATTACCCTGGACCTTTTGGTTATTCAGAAAAAGATTTCAACATGGACGAAGGTCATTCATTTGAACAAACTTGGTAGCCCTTCATCCAAGCACGCTACTGGTCAAATATCACCCTGGCCCTTTTGGCTGTAAATAAGAAGTTGATTACAGTTTAAACATATTTGACCCCTGTGACCTTGAATATAACTCAAGGTCATTCGTTTGAACAAACTTAGTAGCCCTTTATCCCAGCTTGTAACTGGCCAAACATCAGAACCCTAGGATTACCTAGGCCTCTTGTTTATTCAGAAGTTGTTTAAAGGCCTTGAACATATTTGACTCCTGCGACCTTAAACATAAGTCAAAGTCATTCATTTAAACAAACTAAGTAGCCATTCATCCCAACATGTTACTGGCCAAATATCAACACCTATTTTATAGCATATTAACCAATTTCAACACACAATGTACAGTATGCTTCTGGCCAAATATCATTACCCTGGACCTTTTGGTTATTCAGAAGATTATTTCAACATATTTGACCCTTATGACCTTGAAAATGGACGAAGGTCATTCATTTGAACAAACTTGGTAGCCCTTCATCCAAGCACGCTACTGGTCAAATATCACCCTGGCCCTTTTGGCTGTAAATAAGAAGTTGATTACAGTTTAAACATATTTGACCCCTGTGACCTTGAATATAACTCAAGGTCATTCGTTTGAACAAACTTAGTAGCCCTTTATCCCAGCTTGTAACTGGCCAAACATCAGAACCCTAGGATTACCTAGGCCTCTTGTTTATTCAGAAGTTGTTTAAAGGCCTTGAACATATTTGACTCCTGCGACCTTAAACATAAGTCAAAGTCATTCATTTAAACAAACTAAGTAGCCATTCATCCCAACATGTTACTGGCCAAATATCAACACCTATTTTATAGCATACTAACCAATTTCAACACACAATGTACAGTGTAGATTCTCACTTTGTGCACCAATTATGATGCAGAGAGATTAAGAAAGGAATGTGCTTTTAAATAAAAACATTAATGAATTTTGTTTGTAAAAGAAATATATTTATGTTCCAGATAATAAAATACTAGTTAATGACCGACTAATGCTGTGTGCGAATTGCTGCTGTATTTTTGAATACAGTTAGGAGTTTTATCCTTTATCTGGAACAGGTAAAAAGAAACAAGAGACACAATTGGCCTGTTTCGATTAACTGCCGTTCAATTCGGTATAAAAACACATCTTAATGGGTGACCTTCTAAGTGCGTCAAGATCACGATGGTTTAATCAATAAAACAAACTTTATAGCACTTCGCACAGCACAGGCTAAGTATCATTAGTCTTTAGCTTAATATGGATCTTTGTTGAACTTATTTTACTACTGGGACCTTGGTTTTGACATTTCTTTTTAATTATTATTTTTTTATTGTTGATTAATCTTTAAAGGAAGTTAACGTTGTTTAAAGGTTTTGAAACATTTCACACTTGTAGCCTTGAAAGTAAGTCAAATCAATTCATCTGAAAAAAATCAGATATCCATGTGTCTCAGCATGCTACTAGACAATTCCTAGGCATCTTTGTTATTTAAAAGATGTTGCTCAGAGGATTTAAAACGTCAGACCTTGAAAGTGGGTCAAGTTCGTTCATCTTAACAACATTTAGCTTTTCATTCCAGCAGAATGTCACTGGTCAAATACTACTATCATGGCCATATGCCTCTTATTGTTCAGAAAAACAAAGTTATTAAAAGGTTTTAACAAATTTGAAACCGTGTGACATTTTGAGTGGGTTATGGTCATTCACTTGAACACTTTGTCAATTTTGGGCTCCCTTTATATCATCATTGTACTACAAGTACTGAAGGTGATGTTAATAGATTTCACCACTTGCACCACAGTAAAACCAACGCTGTCGCTGGAGCAAGAACATAACCCTCCTTATCCTGCATATAGACAAGCGAACAAATCAAACCAAATAAGACATGTATTGGTGTTAGTCCAAACATGCTAGTCTGTGTGTACAGCAGAACCTTGTTACCCTAGACTACCATCTTTGTGTACAGAAGAACCTTGTTACCCTAGATACCCATCTGTGTGTACAGCAGAACCTTCTTACCCTAGACACCCATCTGTGTGTACAGCAGAACCTTGTTACCCTAGACACCCATCTTTGTGTACAGCAGAACCTTCTTACACTAGACACCCATCTGTGTGTGAAGCAGAACCTTGTTACCCTAGACACCCATCTGTGTGTACAGCAGAACCTTGTTACCCTAGACACCCATCTGTGTGTACAGCAGAACCTTGTTACCCTAGACACCCATCTTTGTGTACACAGAAGATTGCCGTTAGTCCTAACTTTAAAAATTTACAGTCTGGGCATACTGGTTTTTGTGTACAGTAGAACTTTGGTACATAAGTAGTTTAGATGAGTTCTTTTGTCTGTACAGTGGAATCATTTTAGTCTAAGCGTGTTGTTTTTTGTGTATGGTAGAATTTTGATCAGTTCAGTTGATTTGTGTGTACAGGAAAACCACTGTAGACTAGAACAAATGGTGTTTGTGTACAATATAACTTGGTAGATCCAATGGGTTGTTTAAGCAGGCTGAAATTTAAGAGTTACCCACTAAGACAATAGGTCTTTATGACATACAGATTTGTTATATAATTACTAAGTTTCGATAGATGAGGCCTTGACCAGGACAATTTTATTAATGGATTTAGTGTTCAACTAGAACACTGACAGGTCAGTAAGGGCCCCGTCTTGTGGCAATATATCCCCCATAATCATCAAGAAGCAATCTGCCCATATAGCTGAGCTTGACGTTTGACATTTGGACTTCAAAAAGAATCGCAAGGAAGCAAAATATACATTTTACATGTACTATGATGTGAGTCTTGTTTCCTTCCACCTCCATATTTGCTGGGCTAACAGAAATGTAAAAACCGGTGCAATACTCATTTGCTAGCTTTGATTTGTTTTATTTCACCTTATATACCTCCTACATCAAGAGCCTTGTTCAAAGTCAGAGATCCAATTTGTCTTTGACTTTTGGACCCAAATGACCTTGACCATTAACCTAGTGACCCTGAACTTTGGTCAGTTGACTTATTCTTTAATTCCGACCAACTTTGCTTCTTGATATCATAACAAAATGTTCATCAGTGAAAAATACAAAACTTGACCTTGACCCTTTGGACCCTGTAACCTGGACCTAAGGTCAGTTGACTCTGTGTTAAGTTCTGAACAACATTGCTTCATAATGTTATAACAAAATTTTCATCAGGGAAAAGGTACATTTAATTTAACCTTGACCTTTGACCCAATGACCTTGACCTTTGGTCAGTTGACTCTTTGTTTAATTCTGAACAGCTTTGGTTCATAATGTCATAGCGAAATGTTCACCAGTGAAAAGCTACAAAATTCGACCTTGACCCCTGACCCGATGACCTTGACCTTTGGTCCGTTGACTCTTTGTTTAATTCTGAACAACTTTGGTTCATAATGTCATAGCGAAATGTTCACCAGTGAAAAGCTACAAAATTTAACCTTGACCCCTGTCCCGATGACCTTGACCTTTGGTCCGTTGACTCTTTGTTTAATTCTGAACAACTTTGGTTCATAATGTCATAGCGAAATGTTCACCAGTGAACACCTACAAAATTTGACCTTGACCCCAGACCCGATGACCTTGACCTTTGGTCAGTTGACTCTTTGTTTAATTCTGAACAACTTTGGTTCATAATGTCATAGCGAAATGTTCACCAGTGAAAAGATGTAAAATTTGACCTTGACCTTAGAACCTAATGACCTTGACCTTTGACCTTGATTTTTTTCCTTAATGTGTATTTTTGTGAACTGAACATCTTGACCAGTTTCATGTACATCGGTCAATAAATACCAAAGTTATCAGCCAGGAACAGAATTTGTGGACGGACAGATGGACAGACAGACAGACAGACAGACAGAGTGATTACTATAGGGCACCCGTATCTCCGATACGGGGCCCTAATAACATGAAGTAAAGAAAATATGTGTAATGTTGAAAGAAGACAAGTTATTTCCCAGAGGACATTTCTCTACAAACTATTTTTATCATTGGTCTATGAAGTAAATTATTCCAATAGACCTTCAGTATTTTTCATGGTGGATGTCCATTGGTCAACTGATGAGTTTGAACACTATTTTCGTCGGGACAATTTAACATCATGTGATGTTTTCAGAGAAGTAAATATAAATTATTACAAAACCAAACATTTTTTCCATACATTTAATTTTATTTTTTTACAATAAGTGAGCTGATCACACATAACAAAAATACTGATTTAAGGTACCTCAAATACAGGAGAATGCTTCAAGGTCCAAACTCTTGTCTCAGTATTGTAGAATTTATTCTATCTCACAATAATTTAACGTACCTAACATACCGCAACAGATTATACACCCAATAGCATTGTTGACAATTTCTGGAACACACATCAACAGATCAAATATATAACTGTAAAAATGGATTGAATTCTATATGTAAATTCATCATCATTTTATCGTTAAGTGACCATCAATTGTGCAGTGATGCATAGGACACTTTTTGATAGTCTGGAAAGAGTATAATGCTGTGTTTGGGTCAAAAATTGTTTCATTAAATCAATAATTATGCAATTATCATTATACTTAAAATTGACAAAAGCAGGTCATTATTTCTTGCCAATTTCACTTTTTAAAAAAAATTCGGTGACATTCAGCAAACATTTAGCAAAACAAAAACAAACAATTTTGAAATTGCTGGAATAGTAAGCTGAAGGCTACATGTAACTTCCTCCTAAACTTCTGCAATCCCTTTGAGGAGAAGACAACCAATTAGTGAGATGTAAATATTCAGTACATTATGGCCTAATTATCCCTGACCAAAATGCACAACTATATTTAATGCCTATGAAGCCTGATATTTTTTTTAGGAAATGAAAATCAATCTGAGGGACTAGTTAACTGGTAAAGATTTCACGATTCCGATATAAAGGGCAACAACTCTGCATCAAATGTACAGTGCCTACCATGAACATGCCACAACCCCATGTGACATAGGTAGTTATGGTTATACAGCAAAATCAAATTAAAACAGAGTAACTTATTGTCTGAACAAGTCCTGGTGAAGTTATTTAAACAACATATTCTAACAGACAACAAGTATTTCTACATACTTGTACAATTATACAAGGTGTTTTTTTAAATTCAACACAAAAAAAAAACTAAATAAAAAACTTGCACCAAAATGAGTTACCAGAATTAAACAGGTCTACCTTGGAAAAATATATTTTTTTATTTATTTTATACATACTAGGTGAGTTTGTTTAAATAACCAAGACCCCTGAATTCTAGATAACATCTCAAAAGTTTCCTAAAAAATGCTTCCTAATTCAAGATTAATTTCATTTTTCCTCTCGAAGGATAAAGACCTAATTTTACCATGTAGAATATCACTCAACTGATGTTAAAACACGATCACATGAAATATATCTTAACCTTTTTCTTTCTCTGAAGATTATTTTGAAAACAAACACAGAGAGAACTCACAATCATCATTGTTGATCATTTCTTATCAATGCAACGAATAAACCATCTTAAATTTTGCTATTCATAGTTTTAATACATTTTAAAGCGTGTATTTTCAAATTCAACACAACAAATTTATATCGATAATCAGTCACAGACCTGTGAAATTTCAGTTATTTGTTGAATGTATTGCTAGTCTGTAGTTTTGTCCATCAAATCCTTTCATTTTCCACACAATAAATCTATGTTTTCCTTGTCATGCTGTTGTTTGTCTCTGTTAAGATGCAGCCGATTCTGCTATGGGTTGGTCTGTTGTTTGGCGGGTTTTGTTCCAGCTTTCCAGTCCCTTTGGTAGAGTTGTGTCCTCCTCCATTGAGCCAGTACCTTCCACAAACTCCTCATATGTAGATTTTTCTGCGAATGGTCTTTTCCCCAAAATACTCTCCATATCTGCCTTATCTATTTTTTCCTTCTCTAGCAACAACTTGGCAACCTGCAAAATATAGCAATAAAATTGTGAATACCAGCCGATCTCATGAATATATTGTGTTCAGATAACCAAATCAACTAATTTTCCTGTTTAGATAACACAATCAAACCTGCCAAGTTGTTTAGTGGAACAGTAGATGTCTTCACACAAGCTAATTGGCCATATTAAGATATCTTCCTCTGTAAATGTCTCTAACAGTATAAAGAGTTTACATAACATATATTTTAAACAGAATGTTGACTGGGAAGGTCCACCACCATTTTTGAAAGATATATACACAAAGAAAAGTGTATTCTTCTACAATTATGTAGAACTCAATTAGTGCTGGGAAAATCAGGAATAATTTCTAAGCCAGCCTCCTTAAAAAAATGAAACACTTTGTTACTTGTAACACCCCTCAACTACTGTTTTCATTACAACATCGAAGTGACAGGTATGTTCATAAATAGATATAGCATTCATTTCTTTTCATTCTAACATCAAAGTTAGAGGTATGTCTGTAAAGGATACATTTATTTGTTTGTTTAAACTCTATCATCAAAGTTTGAGGTATGTTCATAAGGAGATACATGTATTCATTTGTTTTCATTACGCGTAAAAGCTACAGGTACAGTGAACTATAATTCATTACTACAGTCTACCTACCTTGTCTATGAGATCCTTTTTCTCGGTCAGTAGAACCACGGTCCGGTCGTAACATCTGCTCACAAGATCTCGAACTTCCTCATCAATAATCTGACCTGTTTGCTCACTGTAGGGCTTCTGGAATGATTGCTGTTCCTGTTCAAAAGCTATTTGTCCCACCTTCTCACTCATACCCAGCATTGTTACCTACAATTAGAAATGTCTCACACATACCAAACAGTGTTACTTACAATTAGAAATGTATCACACATACCTAACAGTGTTACCTACAATTAGAAATGTCTCACACATACCTAACAGTGTTACCTACAATTAGAAATGTCTCAAAGATACCTAACAGTGTTACCTACAATTAGAAATGTCTCACACATACCTAACAGTGTTACCTATAATTAGAAATGTCTCACACATACCTAACAGTGTTACCTATAATTAGAAATGTCTCACACATACCTAACAGTGTTACCTACAATTATAAATATCTCACACATACCTAACAGTGTTACCTACAACTAGAAATGTCTTACACATACCTTACAGTGTTACCTACAATAAGAAATGTCTCACACATACCTAACAGTGTTACCTACAATTAGAAATGTTTCACACATACCCAGCATTGTTACCTACAATTAGAAATGTCTCACTCATACCCAGCATTGTTACCTACAATTAGAAATGTTTCACACATACCCAGCAATGTTACCTACAATTAGAAATGTCTCACACATACCTAACAGTGTTACCTACAATTAGAAATGTTTCACACATACCTAAGTGTTACCTATAACAAGAAAGGTCTCGTAGTAACAGGGCAAGAATTAAGGATGGCAAAGCCAACGGGAAAGGTGAAAGCTTGTTCTCATTCATTTTAGAACGGAAAAGGTGAATGCTTTTTCTAATTCATTTGAGATGTTACAAAGCATTTGATCAGTCAATCAAATTTGAATTCATGAAATTGACACGTCGCCAGTAAAACTCACAGTATAACAATAGTTAATCATGGTAGACTGATGCAAATTTGAAAATAACAAGAGGCCCAGAGGGCCTGTATCGCTCACCTGGATATCTTAGCAATCATGAAAAAATATTCTCCAAATGAGATCCAAGGGAATATGCCAGACCCCAAGGCCAATCCTTGTAGCATATTTGTATTAGATTTTTCATGCCCAGCAATTTTATGTATGGTTATAGGGTGGGTCTCTCAACTGTTTCCAAGCTGTGACTCAGAAACTAGGTCCCTAGGGTTGTGGCCAGACCCCAGGATCAATTCTAATATCATGACTGCATTCGTCTCATTTTGCCCAGCATTTGTGTATATAGTTTTTGGGTGGGGATCTCAACCGTTATGACCCAGGGGTTAAGTCTGCAAGGGTGGGGGCAAACTCTGGGGTCAATTTTAATATCATGACTGCATTCGTCTCTTTATGCCCAACAATTGTATATATAGTTTTGGGGTGGGGATCTTAACCATTTCAAAGTTATGACCCAGGGACTATGTCTCCAAGGGTGGGGCCAGACCCTAGAGCCATCCCGGAAGCAAATGTGCATTCTTCTCTTTATACTCAGCAATTGTATATATGGTTATACGGTGGGGATCTCAACCATTTCCAAGTACAATGTAATAAACTTTTTTTTGGACCCAACCCTTAGCCTGGGGGGTCAGCCCCACCATTTGTACAATTTTGAATCCCTTCCTCTCATGAATGCTTCCAACCAAATATGATCGATATCCATGGCATAGTTCTACAGAAGAAGTCGTTTATAGCAATATAGCCAAATTGCCCCCTTTTGGCCCCGCCCTCAACCCCACTCTAAGCCCCACTTTCAGCCCCCTGGGGGGTCAGCTTCACTATTTGTACAATTTTGAATCCCCACCACCTAGGGATGCTTCCAGTCAAATATGGTTGATATCCATCTCGTAGTTACAGGGAAGAAGTCGCTTAAAGCAATATAGCCAAATTGTCCTTTTTGACCCCGCCCCTCAGCCCCTGGGGGGTCAGCCCCACCATTTGTACAATTTTGAATCCCCACCACCTAGGGATGCTTCCAGTCAAATTTAGTTAAATTCCAATCAGAGGTTAAGAAGAAGAAGTCGTTTAAAGAAATTGTTGACGTACGGACGGACGACGGATGGCACGGTATGGCATAAGCTCACCTTGGTTCTTCGGACCAGGTGAGCTAATAAATACAGTAGGGTTATTACTTTAATGCTCCTCATGACGTTGTGCAGGGTATGAATATCACCTTAAAGTAAATGTGAATGTCTAAAACGAAATAAATGTATAAATGTACTGGGAATTTTTTGTCTAGACAAACTTGCGCCCAAAGCTGGTAACATACATACACACCCGATGTTAATTCTGTCCTTTACATTCATTTACTGTGTTATTTATGTTGTTTCCTCATGTTCATGTAAATTCACCCTCATGACAGAGGGTACAAATTAAACTGCAGCAAAAAAATCCCGATATACAGCACCTTTTTCTGAAACCAAAATGTTAGGGTCTATAGGCTTACCTGAGCGTAGGCCATTTTGGTTACTTTTTGTAGATCATCTTGGGCACCAGATGTAACCTTATCAAAGAAGATTTTTTCCGAAACTCTTCCTCCTAGTAATGTACACATTCTGTCAATCATCTGAAAAATAGCCACAAATTTCACAACTATTATTAGGAAATTACACTTAATACGGCTAGGACAATTTATCAATATATATTATGATACCTAAGTGACACATTTATTAATACACAGTGCGTAGTATGCCAATACATTGATACATATGAGAAAATTAATTCAAGCAGTATTATTTCCATTTACAACCTAAAATTATCATCATGAGATTGAAGAAAGTTTCATGAAACATTCAAATAAAAAAATTGACAACTGGAATGGACACCGAGTAAGAACTTATACTAATGGTAATGATATGATTAAAACCATAACATGATTTCACCAAAAGGAGGATGTGTGACGGTACATATCAGGTCAGGAAATTGTATTCAAGTGTACTACCAAGGCCCAATCTTCAATAACATCTGATTATTTAAGGAATAATGAATCCTCAATTTCACCTTAAAATCACTACAAGAATTTATTAGTATACATTCTTGTATTTAGAAATGAAGAATTACCGATAAATTCAGTGCTGTTTATCACTCACCTGTTCCTGTGTCATTAGATAATTTTCTTGGGGTAAATACATGGCATATCCTAGGCCCTTGCCGCGGGGTATAATAGAAACCTACAATGAATGGAATATATAACTATGGAGATAATGGAGTAAAATAGAAATCTACAAATGATAAAACAGCTAATTATACAAGAAATGTAATGCCCTGAATAGATTTTACCTTCACACTCTAGTACTGTGCTGAATATGTCACCATGACCACAATTGTGTTCCCCTGGAAATTGTTTTCACACAACCAATATATCTTAAAAGTGAACTTGAAATTCAACTCGAAACTTTCATGGGCTCTTAACAAACCAATGAACAAATAGCAAGATTCTAGGTCGAGAGACAAATCTCACAAAAACAGATCTCACAGCAAGGATACAAACACTGCCTGATTGTTCAGTTATTTTGACCTTTAAATATTTTCCGCTCACTCAATAGATAGTCATGGGCTACAGGTTGTTAATGTGTAACAGGGGGTCGCTATATTCAAGGAACCACACAGCTATAGTGTGTTACATTGTACCTTCAACAGGTCGACGTGTTCTAGGAACCACCCAGCTATAGTGTGTTACTGTTTACCTTCAACAGAGTGTCGCCATGTTCTAGGAACCACCCAGCTATAGTGTGTTACTGTGTACCTTCAACAGGAGGTCACCGTGTTCTAGGAACCACCCAGCTATAGTGTGTTACTGTGTACCTTCAACAGGAGGTCACCATGTTCTAGGAACCACCCAGCTATAGTGTGTCACTGTGTACCTTCAACAGGGGGTCACAATGTTCTAGGAACCACCCAGCTATAGTGTGTTACTGTATACCTTCAACAGGGGTCCATCATGTTCTGGGAACCACCAATTTGTAGTGTGTTACCGTGTACCTTCAACAGGGGGTCACCATGTTCTAGGAACCACCCAGCTAAAGTGTGTTACTGTGTACCTTTAACAGGGGTCCACCATGTTCTGTGAACCACCAATCTACAGTGTGTTACTGTGTACCTTCAACAGGCTAGGGGGTCACTATGTTCTGGGAACCACCAATCTATAGTGTGTTACTGTGTACCTTCAACAGGGGGTCACCGCGTTCTGGGAACCACCAATCTATAGTGTGTTACCGTGTACCTTCCACAGGGGTCCACCATGTTCTAAGAACCACCAATCTATAGTGTGTTACCGTGTTCCTTCCACTGGGGTCCACCATGTTCTGGGAACCACCAATCAATAGTGTGTCACTGTATACCTTCAACAGGGGGTCACTATGTTCTGGGAACCACTAATCTATAGTGTGTTACTGTGTACCTTCAACAGGGGTCCACCATGTTCTGGGAACCACCAATCTATAGTGTGTTACTGTATACCTTCAACAGGGGGTCACCATGCTCAAGGAACCACCCAGCTATAGTGTGTTACTGTGTACCTTTAACAGGGGGTCACCATGTTCTAAGAACCACCCAGCTATAGTGTGTTACTGTGTACCTTCAACAGGGGTCCACCATGTTCTGGGAACCACCAATCTATAGTGTGTTACTGTGTACCTTCAACAGGGGTCCACCATGTTCTGGGAACCACCAATCAATAGTGTGTCACTGTATACCTTCAACAGGGGGTCACTATGTTCTGGGAACCACTAATCTATAGTGTGTTACTGTGTACCTTTAACAGGGGTCCACCATGTTCTGTGAACCACCAATCTACAGTGTGTTACTGTGTACCTTCAACAGGCTAGGGGGTCACTATGTTCTGGGAACCACCAATCTATAGTGTGTTACTGTGTACCTTCAACAGGGGGTCACCATGCTCTAGGAACCACCCCGCTATAGCATGTTACTGTGTTCCTTTAACAGGGGGTCACCATGCTCTAGGAACCACCCAGCTATAGTGTGTTACTGTGTACCCTTAACAGGGGGTCACCATGCTCTAGGAACCACCCCGCTATAGTGTGTTACTGTGTACCTTTAACAGGGGTCCACCATGTTCTGTGAACCACCAATCTACAGTGTGTTACTGTGTACCTTCAACAGGCTAGGGGGTCACTATGTTCTGGGAACCACCAATCTATAGTGTGTTACTGTATCCCTTCAACAGGGGGTCACCATGCTCAAGGAACCACCCAGCTATAGTGTTTTACTGTGTACCTTTAACAGGGGGTCACCATGCTCTAAGACCCACCCAGCTATAGTGTGTTACTGTGTACCTTCAACAGGGGTCCACCATGTTCTGGGAACCACCAATCAATAGTGTGTCACTGTATACCTTCAACAGGGGGGCACTATGTTCTGGGAACCACTAATCTATAGTGTGTTACTGTGTACCTTCAACAGGGGGTCACCATGCTCTAGGAACCACCCCGCTATAGTCTGTTACTGTTTACCTTTAACAGGGGGTCACCATGCTCTAGGAACCACCCCGCTATAGCATGTTACTGTGTTCCTTTAACAGGGGGTCACCATGCTCTAGGAACCACCCCGCTATAGCATGGCCTGCTTCGTGGTATGCCACTGTTTTCTTCTCTTCAGGCTGTAGAACTTGTGTTTTCTTTTCTAAACCTTTAAAGGGGAAAAAGATGTTTTTATTTTATTTTTATATATCATACAATAAAACGATCTTTATCTTGAATGTTGCTTCAAGCAAATACTTCAATAGGGAAAGAAATTCTGGATAGAACAAAGCAAAAATCTATTTTAGGTGATGATTTTTTTATCACAATATTGGTTCAAGATAAAAGTTGTTAAATTAATTATCATAAACAATATATGCTTTATCAATTATGAAAATAAGAACTGAATTTCTATTTGACCTTTGTTACTATTTTACTTACAGAGTTCTGATTTTATTTGGCATTAGGACAATATTCAATTTTCAAAAGGGTTTTGTAACACCGCTGTTTCTATAAGTGTTTGAAAGAGTTACCTCCCACTACTCGTTCTATGGCTTGTTCGAAGTGATTTGACATGACCGACTCATTGAGGTCGCGAGCGGCTATGAGCGCTGATTCGTTACACACATTGGCTATGTCAGCACCTGTAAAATATGACACATTACACATATTGGCTATGTCAGCACCTGTAAAACATGACACGTGCCTTAGGTCCAGGTACAGTGTTTATCTGCCTGAGGCTCATTATCAAGTACATGGACAGAAAGTTTATCACTAAATTTTTAGTACATAAAAAAATTAATTCACCATCGATCTTCAAAATAGATGAAAGTAAATAAAACATTAAATAAATGAGAATGAACACCAATGGTTAATTACAGTAATTGTACAGAGACTAACCTGAGAAACCTGGAGTAAGTGCCGCTAACTTTTTGGCCATTACCTCCTTTACAAGATCTGTTTTTATACTTCCAAGATGGACTTTGAAAATATTTGCCCTGAAAATGAATATTAAAGATTATCTATGTCTATGCAAATACAACAAGGCTATATTTAGTGATCTGGCACGAGTATTTGAACCTAAAACTAACTGCTCAAGAGGGTTCAATTCAGTAAGTAAATGTACAGACAGCAACCTGGTTAGCAAACTATTTTTGGAATAACCATGACTATTTTTGGGGTTACATACATGCCATAACTTTCCAGAGCATAAAAGTGAGATCAGTGAATTTTTTAGTGAGATTTGGTCAAAAGTAGTGAGATTTTTTCCAGATTCAGTGTCAGTGTCCGGTTTTGATTTTATAGGACTTCACAACTCACATTTCCGTTTCGGTAAAACCATGTTGTCAATTGTAATGAACTAACAGCTTCTATGTGGCTGTTTGATGTTTTTATCAACTGTCATCACATATTAATTAGCGACTAGCCCCCACTGGATGGGGGATCCCTGTTTGACTGCTTAACAGTTCACACATCGGTGAACATGCATGACACCAAGCCATGCGCCGCAAAATCGGCAGGCTTTTCACAACTTTAACACCTATATGCTGCTAATTTGCCTAGCCAGTAATTTAAGTGGTTTTCATGGCCTGTGACTTTAGACATCTCAGTGACCAGTGGTCAGTGTGAATCCATGTAGCTATTGTTTCTTCACTAAGATTGACCAAACTTTGCTTCTTTTCGTGAGACCGATTGAAATTTGTGAGAAATGTGTCTCACACTGTGAGGATTTTTTTTGAAGTAAATTTTGTGAGTCTCACGCTCAAATCATTAGATATGGCATGTATGGGGTTATATGGTACAGAAAAAAATTGGGCACTTTGCATATATCTGTGAGAAGTTTATGCACTTAAGTGCACACAGTTTTTTTCGTATATACTGTATAATCCCAAAATAAACCATGGTTATCTCTTATACTGGTAATTTAATTTAAAAAGGTATACAAGTTCATGACAGAAGAATAAATTATGAGTTGTAATTTGTAGAGGATGCAGATTTCGCAACAATTAAGTGTTTCTATTTTTCAAATTTTGAGTTTTGGCTAATTGGCACCATATCAAAATATATATCTACCATTGGAAATTCCTGATACTGAAAGCAGTCTTTCCATTTACATAATTTTATAAATATGCACACATATAACAATTCAAAAGTATAAAATCCTTAATATTCAATCCTTATTTAATCCCTATTTACACGATGGACATGGACTGGGGAAGTATAGTACCTCTTCACACTAGACATTTACGATTTACATAATCTAGTTTATCAATGTAACAGGGTTATCATCAGAGAAACAAGGGATACTCACCTGCCCTTGATGTCTGGTAGTGGTATGTAGATCTGTCGGTCAAATCTACCTGCTCGTAGCAAAGCGGGATCTAGGACGTCTATTCGATTAGTTGCAGCCAGAACTACTACCCCTGTCTGTGAACTGAAACCTAAAAGAAATTTTCCAATAAATGATTTAACTTTATTAACAAAGTACAAAAATTTGATTGGAACAAGAGTACCGCGGGGCGGAACAATATACATGTACGCCTGTCAATTGCCATATAGTGTTATATACTTTCTAACATTGAAATAAGATCTCTCTCTATCATTCTATGAGTGGTTAGCTGACATGCTATAAAAAATGTAGGAGAAAATCTCCGGACAAAAAAAATTAAATACTGAAATAAACAAAGGGCAATAAATTTTGCAAAATTTGTCGAATCAAAATTCTTTTAAGGGAGACACAACTTCATATCATGGTTATAATGTATACTAAGTTTCAAAGAGATCGGTCGAAAAAAGATTGCAAGACAAACAAAAGTTTACGCCGGCCGGACAACCCCATACCATAATACTCCCGTCAAATTTGACGGGCGTATAAAAAAATGATTAATATGCACCAAACAGTTAATAATAATCCTGATGTCAGACTCAGAGAATATTCTGCTTTACGAAGCACAGTTTAAATGATTGCAAAGTAATAAAAGTTAATGCTAATTGCCATGCAATCAATGTCAAAAGTAAATCAGTCATATCACTACTCTGATTACTTCGATATTTTTTCAATAAATATTTATAAATGATGAGTAAGTAGTGTTAGTGAGACTAGCAATATTCAGTATTAGATGATCACATACATCAAAGTTTTAATCTGGACACAAACAATGTGCGTATTAAACATGTTGCAACATTTCAAGACCGACTGGTCCCTTTGTCAAGCTATGATTGAGCTTGACAAAGGGACTAGTCGGTCTAGCTGGATTAAGGGACCAGTTGGTCTAGCTTGATAAGGGACCAGTCAGTCTAGCTTGATAAGGGACCAGTCAGTCTAGCTTGATAAAGGGACCAGTCAGTCTAGCTGGATAAAGGGACCAGTCAGTCTAGCTTGATAAGGGACCAGTCAGTCTAGCTTGATAAAGGGACCAGTCGGTCTAGCTTGATAAGGGACCAGTCGGTCTAGCTTGATAAGGGACCAGTCGGTCTTTAAATGTTGCGACAAGCTTACTACATACCTTGTTTGTGTATAAAGTACAACTTTGATATAACATATTTCCAAACTGGTGAATCTTATTGAAGATAGAGGATAAATGTTTTATAAATCCACAGGTAACTATCACTGATATAATATTATCATTTACATCATGTTAAGAAGTAAATACCATGTAGTCTTGTGCATCTTGAACAAAATATTTTCCCAGAACAACCAAACAGTAACAAACTATATTGAAAGGATAAAGAGATCACAAAATGTCCAGGGGTGTAAATAATGTAGGATAGGGATAGTCCACCCACGGGTATATCAAATTAGGTTAAACCCGAGGCTTGTGGAGCTAATCTCAGAAACCACAAAAACATGCTAGGCTTCTAAAACTGACATTACAGGTAAGGAGCTGACAAAATTGTATACAGATATATTGGGTTGGTTTGGTTTGGTTGTGATTTATGTCCTATTAAAAGCTGTGGTGATTTAAGGACAAGCAAGGTTTTGGTGGTGGAGGAAAACCACAGAACTTAAAAAAAAGAATCGAACTGCAGCCAGTATGTGATGACTGTCCCGATAGATCTCGAACCCACAACCAAGTGATGGAGGGCTAGTGATTGTAGATGGTCAGACGCCTTCACCACTCAGAAACTATAGCCCCTTACAGATGTATTGGGCATATTCACAAAAAAACAATAACATGTTCACAGAAATACTAGAGTTTACATAAAGCATTCAGAATAGGACATCTGATTTCATACCGTCAAGTTCAACTAGGAACTGGTTCAGTGTGTTTTCCTGTTCACTGTTGCCCCCAAAATTTGATCTTCCACGTTTCCGTCCAACCGCATCTATCTCGTCTATAAATAATATACAGGGGGCATTTTTCCTGGCTTCTTTGAACATGTCTCGCACCTGTGAACCAAAAGATTTAAGGTTACATTCACATTTGTCAGAAAGCCTTTTTTGATAATGCACATGGAACAGCTACTGACAATAACTTTTCTTTAGCAGGTAAATATGTTTCCCCATGTTTTACAGTCGATGGTACTCCTCTGTGCAAAACATCCATCTGTTTATGTATAGAATTTATAACTGTAGGACGAGGATCTTGACGATGACTAAAAGTTGGTTGAAAGATAGGTATTCATTTGACTTTTTTATAATTGACGACACATGTTCATATACAAGGTAGTAGGATACAGATGATAAACAGTTCATCGTACAGTGATTTTAGGGTTTGTTTGAACACTTTGCTCACACATTTCTAAAATCTCGAGTCCACCTGTGGTGGCCTGTTTTTGTCCACACGCTTGTAATGAGAAAATGGTTCTCACAACAAACCCTGATACACAGTGTGATTATCTGTAAATATCAACTAAAAATACTGCTTCTTCTGGTGGTGGTAACGCAAACCGTGTATGTACAGAGTTGAGCTGATGTCACTATTACCACCTAATCGTTAAAATTGGTCCCCCAATGGACTTAGTGCTCTTTATATCAATATCAACAAAAAATACATGCTCTGAAACACAATTTCCCTTACTTTACACAAAATCTCTCACCACTCTAAAGAAATAATGTCTGAATTACCCGAGCAGGTCCAACTCCGACAAACATCTCGAGGAACTCAGATCCGGACACGGCGATGAAGGGAACATTAGCCTCCCCAGCTGTGGCCTTGGCCAGTAGTGTTTTCCCTGTTCCTGGGGGCCCAGTCAGCATGGCTCCTTTGGGGATTTTGGCACCAAGTTTTAGGTATTGTTCCTTGTTTTTCAGGAAGTTTACAAATTCCATAATTTCTAATTTGGCCTCTTCACATCCGGCTACATCACTGAGTATGGAAGCATGTGATTATGTAGTGCAGTATACTGATGTACACCTTGAGATATGTACAGGAAACATCACCCGTAAGTGTGCAAGTTAATTGTACGATTAAATGTTTCACAAGGTTGTTAGTCAGAGTGAAATATCATACCTACATATACAGGTATTAAATATATATCTGATGAACACATATATAAGCACACCTATAAGTGTTATTTACATTTACTTGATTTTACAAGCCGATTTTTGTTTTCTATAACCAAATGGATTAAGTACTGACATTTTACAGCATAAATGGATGATGACATCAAATTTACAAAACTATTCAATAACTGATGTTAAGATTTCTATATAAGGTCAAAGGTCAAGTCATAGGTCACAGTGGCCTAATTCTTGCACTCTGCACTTTGCCATCAAAAAATAGATGTCCTTGTCCTTGTCCTTGTACACCAAATCTGGTTACTCAGGGTGAAATTGATATAGTATAGAAGATACTTCCCGGACAAACTTCTCGGAAGGACGGATTGCAAACCTATACAATTTTAAACTTGGAGATATTGGCATCAATCGTTAAGTCTAAAACAGATTAAGATTTTTCTCTTTTGTCGGCTTTAACATTTTACCCCTATTGATTCTCTTCGCCAAATATCTTCAGTTAGTAACAAGAGGCCCATGGGCCTAAACGGTCACCTGAGTCCTACAGTATTTATTTTTGCTGTTGAAATATGTACCAATTTGAGTACAAAATAGTTAAGTATAACGTTAACTTAAGTTTGTCAGGACCAGGAGTCGATCATTCCTACAAAGTTTCAGTTCAATCGGCCCTGTAGAACTTGACTTTAAGTTTGAAAGAGTTTTTCAAAATGGCAGCCATGTCAGCCATATTGGATTTCTGATTGACCGGAAAAATAACAACACTGTGTCAGGACCATGAGTCGATCATTCCTACAAAGTTTCAGTTCAATCGGCCCAGTAGAACTTGACTTTAAGTTTGAAATATTTTTTCAAAATGGCGGCCGTGTCGGCCATATTGGATTTCTGATCGCCCCGAAAAATAACAACATTTTGTCAGGACCATGAGTTGATCATTCCTACATAGTTTCAGTTCAATTGGCCGGCCCAGTAGAACTTGACTTTAAGTTTGAAATAGTTTTTCAAAATGGCAGCCGTGTCAGCCATATTGGATTTCTGATCGACCCGAAAAATAACAACACTGTGTCAGGACCATGGGTCGATCATTCCTACAAAGTTTCAGTTCAATTGGCCTAGCAGAATAACTTGACTTTAAGTTTAAAATAGTTTTTCAAAATGGCGGCTGTGTCAGCCATATTGGATTTCTGATTGACCCGAAAAATAACAAGATTTTGTCAGGACCATGAGTTGATCATTCCTACAAAGTTTCAGTTCAATCAGCACAGTAGAACTTGACTTTAAATTTAAAATAGTTTTTCAAAATGACGGCTGTGTCAGCCATATTGGATTTCTGATTGACCCGAAACATAACAAGATTTTGTCAGGACCATGAGTTGATCATTCCTACAAAGTTTCAGTTCAATCGGCCCTGTAGAACTTGACTTTAGGTTTGAAATAGTTTTTCAAAATGGCGGCTGTGTCGGCCATATTGGATTTCTGATCGACCCGAAAAATAACAGCACTTTGTCAGGACCATGAGTCGATCATTCCTACAAAGTTTCAGTTCAATCAGCCCTGTAGAACTTGACTTTAAATTTGAAATAGTTTTTCAAAATGGCGGCTGTGTCAGCCATATTGGATTTCTGATTGACCGGAAAAATAACAACACTGTGTCAGGACCATGAGTCGATCATTCCTACAAAGTTTCAGTTCAATTGGCCCAGCAGAACTTGACTTTAGGTTTGAAATAGTTTTTCAAAATGGCGGCCGTGTCGGCCATATTGGATTTCTGATCGACCCGAAAAAGAAAAAAAACTTTGTCAGGACCATGAGTTGATCATTCCTACAAAGTTTCAGTTCAATCGGCCCAGTAGAACTGGACTTTAAGTTTGAAATAGTTTTTCAAAATGGCAGCCGTGTCGGCCATATTGGATTTCTGATTGACCTGAAAAATAACAACATTTGGTCAGGGAGATGTCAGTAACCTTCCCATGAAATATTAATGAAATCCCTTTGCCAGTATTTCAGCTTAAGTTGAAAATGTAAAATGCTAATGGACGACGGACGAAGACGGATAGCAATAGGTCACTTGAGCTAAAGCTCAGGTGACCTAAAAATACTTAAACTTATATTCCATTGAATTTCAGCATTTCTGCAAAACTATACTTGGAAAGTGTGCAAGTAAGTCAAGAAAATCTTTGTACCAAATATGAGAACTTGAGTACAGATACTAGTTAATTGTAATAAGTCTATACAGAACTGCTCTAACATTACCTTATTAATTTAATGTTTTTATACAGACCTGAATTTGACTATAACATTTGAGTTTGGCTTGAAGACCTTGGCTGTGGATTTTCCGAATCCGAAAGGTCCCCCTCCACCTCCTTTTCCCATTCCTCCACTTCTCTGTAAAACACGATTTCTTTAAAATACACATTCCTAGGCAGTTGTAGTGACAAAGATCACCAACAAGGGTACCAAGGACCTTGAATTTCTCATCTGGCTATTTCAGAAAGCAAGTTCATTGATATCTATCCAGTAGTTTAGGAGGGGAGCCACTTTGTTTAATTTTAAATCACTATAGGCTAAGCATGTGCCATGACATTGGACATGTGAACCTCTGGTACCACCTGTCTCTCTGTGCAGACTTCTAGAGAGTGACACAGTCTGAGAAGGATAAATAGGCGTGAAACTTTTTGCAGCAATTCTTCAGTTCCTTGATTCTATAAAACATTGGCTTATCAATTTAATTATTATCCTTTATTATCTTAAGTTATAAAGTTTCTTTAAACCATTCACAGCAGCACCCAAACAGTACAACAGTTGTACTGCTTAAACACTCTGACCAGTGACACTCACATGCTTATTAAACAGTCTATATAAGGTTCCTCCTATTCCAGTTACAGCATGTGATACACATACATATAAATGTTCAATACAGGGCTTAGGATGGACAGGTGATACAGATTGATTATTAAAGAGTAGGACTATTTAACTTGAATTGTTTAAATTTACTGAGGTTTGAAAAACTGTAGCTGGATTGATTATTTCCATTACCCAGTATATGCTATACAATGTTGGCATTGTTGTCTAAGAGGAACTTCTGCCTCCTGAGGGGGACAAATCTAGTCAGAATAATAGACTGGGTTTTAGGTCTTAAAAAGGATCAAATGTTAGATAAAGGGGTTCAGAGGGAAAGGGGGACACATTTGACATGTATGAGATGCTAGCAAGTAGATAATTCATTAAAAAAGCCAATCTGCCAATTTAACCCTTTTTACCCACCAGCAGATTCAGTTTAACAGTTTTAATCCCCGTTTGATAAATCTGCCAAGTAGCTATAAGTAGATGTCAATTAAAGCAAGTCAATCGATTTGACCCCTTTTCCAGCCACACAGCCCCCTGGAAGTTGTGTCAATAACACACTCTATTTTGTGCCTAAACTCACGTAAGGACCATACGATAATCATGCCAAACTAAAATGCCTAATGTAGAGAAATGATGAGATAAAGCCGGAGAAGGTTAAAAGATCTGATGTAACTACCTGTGTAAATACCTGTTCATTATTTTAATGCTTTAGAGATACTTACTTGCATCATCATATAACCTATACCAATCATGCTGATCATGTAAATACTAAAATGCCTAATGTAGAGAAATGATGAGATAAAGCTGGAGAAGGTTAAAAGATCTGATGTAACTACCTGTGTAAATACCTGTTCATTATTTTAATGCTTTTGAGATACTAACTTGCATCATCCTATAACCTATACCAATCATGCTCATTATGTAAATACTAAAATGCCTAATGTAGAGAAATGATGAGATAAAGCTGGAGTAGGTTAAAAGATCTGATGTAACTACCTGTGTAAATACCTGTTCATTATTTTAATGCTTTAGAGATACTTACCTGCATCATCATATAACCTATACCAATCATGCTGATCATGTAAAAGGCAAAAACAAGAGTGCTGAAAAAAATAAAAATAATAATGTACAATAACATAACAACATTGAGCACCAGTTAATATATATGAGATCAGAAGTTAAGAATTTTAATCTAAATTGCAGCCTTTTACCTAGGATAACCTAAAAAGCTGAAAGCTTATTTCCATTTGGGTCCTTTAAAAGAAACTAAAGTACAATTTCATAATTGAATATTGAGACATTCTTCATAAAATAAACTACTATTCCGTCAAAACATGATGGTCAGTTTAAAAGTACACATAATACCTTAATTATTTTTTCTATTTGAATGTGAAACATACAGTAAAATATTCAATAATCTAAAACATAGAATCATATTAAAAGTGTACACATATTCACTTTCTTGTTTTCCTTTCATAAGCTCCTGTAAATGACCTGATTTTTAAACTTAATTTATTATTTTCACTTTGATGTTTTCCGGAAGTGAATTCCAATCTTTGGTACCAGAAAAATAAAAAGTTGTAGAGATAGATTCAGAACCATTTACGCTAGGAATAATAAAATTACATAGATTTGAGTGAGTACTATAAAAACATGGATTCCTGTCAAAAAAATGATACATATACGTATACTGAGGAGCTTTTCCCTGGAAAACATTGAACATGTGGTTAAGTCTAAGTTGCCTTGCCCTGGTATTGATATCCAGCATGTTTACACGACTAAAATCATGGTAGGACAAACTGTGTCTATTATGTACATATAAAATAAATCTTATCACCTTGTTTGTGCCACTTGTAGATTATTCTTATATTTTTTTGACAGTCAAGTTAATACAAGAATGTATCTAGCTGAATATATCAGGCTGATACCTCGTTCAAGGAGAGAAATTGCTTAGAACAATATGTCCTTATTGTCCATCACCTAGTTCCCGCCACCCCCCTCATATTATTTTCTATTCCCATCATCTGATATCCATATCAAATACTAGCAGAGAAGTTACCTAAAATATCTCATTTTACCATTGTTGAGTAGGGGTTGGTGTGAGTTGGAGATATGGAAGGGTTGGTGTGAGTTGGAGATGTGGAGGGGGTGAGGTTTTTGGTGTGAGTTGGAGATGTGGAGGGGTTGGTGTGAGTTACATATGTGGAGGGGTTGGTGTGAGCTGGAGATATGGAGGGGTTGGTGTGAGTTGGAGATGTGGAGGGGTTGGGGTGAGTTAGAGATGTGGAGGGGTTGGTGTGAGTTGGAGATGTGGAGGGGGTGAGGTTTTTGGTGTGAGTTGGAGATGTGGAGGGGTTGGTGTGAGTTAGAGATGTGGAGGGGTTGGTGTGAGTTGGAGATGTGGAGGGGGTGAGGTTTTTGGTGTGAGTTGGAGATGTGGAGGGGTTGGTGTGAGTTGGAGATGTGGGGGGGTTGGTGTGAGTTGGAGATGTGGAGGGGTTGGTGTGAGTTTGGGAGATGTGGAGGGGTTGGTGTGAGTTGGGGAGATGTGGAGGAGTTGGTGTGAGTTGGAGATGTGGAGGGGTTCGTGTGAGTTGGGGAGATGTCGAGGGGTTGGTGTGAGCTGGAGATGTGGAGGGGTTGGTGTGAGTTGGAGATGTGGAGGGGTTGGTGTGAGTTAGAGATGTGGAGGGGGTGGGGTTGTTATCCCTTTTATTTGTACAATTTGAATTCCTTCCACCTTGATTTAATTTCCAGTCAGAGCTAGTGAATTTCATGAAAGTATTTTTAGAAGAAGTCTTAAGTCACTCGAAAAATTGTTGATGGGAAGACAAGATAATCTCATCTCATTCCTCTAGACTAAGTAAACTAAGAATAACATGGGAATAGAAAGAACACTGTATATAGTTACCTGCCTATCCCTACTTCTTCTGACTTTTTAGAGTAAGTCACATCTAAAAAGTGTGATCTATCTATTTGTAATTCTTCTTGAGTAGTCTGCAATTGTCGCTCAAAGGTATCAACACTTCCTATTCTGAACTGGACATTCCTTTCCATCTTGAAAAATCCAAAGGACCTCATTAGTTAACATTTTTACGATATAACATATTATTTTGAATACAATATATTTGATAAAAGAGTCAGCGATGGACTTTAGCCATAAATTACTTTAAGAACATATTCAGATTTAACGTAATGACAATTAAGAGTTTGAAAATAGAGATAGTCTCACATAAGGAAATACAGACTCAATTACACTAATGTCTTACGCTTTTGAAATTATTTAAGATGAACACTGGAAAAATATCATCATGAAATTATAATGATCACCTGGCTATTCCGTCTTTGCGTATTGCAGAGTTATCTTCTCTTGAGAGCAGGTATTGATTGTAACGTCATTGGTTTGTGTGAGAAAATTACGTGGTTTTCTCAAAAATTGATTACGTTACTCACACAACCAAATGACGTAACAATCAATACCTGCTCTCAAGAGTAGATAACTCTGCAATACGCAAACACGGAATAATCATTAGGTTTAGATAAGTATATTTAAGTCCCATGAGTGGGATACACTTGTTTACTTACCACTCCAGGCTTACAATTGACTACCACCACCACCTGGCTATAATCATTAGGTTTAGATAAGTATATTTAAGTCCATGAGTGGGATACCCTGGTTTACTTACCACGCCAGGCTTACAATTGACTACCACCACCTCTTTGTTTGTCACTGTAAGGCTTTCCACCTGATCAAACAAAAGGGAAATACAAGTTTGTTCTAAATATTGGCCTTCATGTATTTGCTTTTGACAACATGATGTTGATACAAAACAACAACATGGGCTGGTCATAAGCCTATTCATATCAATGAAAATGCAAGCAGGGTAACAATGGACGCCAAGTTTTATGCTATGGATATATATATGTAAGATGTTTCTGTTACCAGTAATTATTTTTTTAATAGAACTTTGCTACCTTGACCTTTGGCGTAAGAATGTCAATGTGTTTTGTCAAATCATAATACAAATATGGTGTATACCGAGAAATGTTCGTCCAGTCCGAGTCAAACTTACGCCCTTCGCCAGAATAATTCATGTTATCCCGTGTTAATTTCACTTTCACATTTAGTTACTATACATATAATGTTGTTTACAAACGTTTGCTGTAAGGCTAAATTTGCCCTTATTATATCAGGCGGTAATTGTGAAAATTTATCTACTACGAAAACTTAACTTTCCAGTATACATTACCTTTATCCTTTGCTAAAGCTGATCACAGTGCAAGTTATAAAGCTTTCAATTGGAATTTAAAAAAAAATGTTTTTATGTTTTTCTGGTTTAGACATCTTCCCCATCTCTTCCTTCTACCGTTTTAAAGGAAGTGCCGACATTTTAGTTTGTCCTTGCTTGGTAACGAGAATGGGTCTCGCTGGGTATAAAAAGTGCATTTTCCGTCAAACCGGTTATCGTTTGTTCAATATGTGCACAAGGTGACACTATTTTATTATTATATATATTTACCACTTTCACACACGATTTTTTACCAACATTTTTATCAGATCAGTTGAATAAAATTGAAATGGAACACATCAAAGATATCATTTATCTAAGAAAAGTGGCAATAGTAGTAAAATATGACCAATTAAAATATCTAATGCACAATCCCTGCCCCCACCCCCCCAAAAACAAATGGCTCTGAAAGAAGCACACATACGACGAACGCTAATGCCTATCTTTTAGATATACGAAGAGTGATAACCTCCTGTGTGAAAACAGTACTTATTCCAATCATTTTCATGAGAACGGTTCAATTATCAAATTTCACATTGTTGACTACACACCTTGGGGTGTCGCATTTTGCACAGGTTTTGCTAGTAAAGCGTCTACACGACGAAGACTAAGAGTTCATTATAGAGTGTTCGTGTGTTGGTGCGGTTCTATGCACATGAAAGACTGATGATTTATAGAAGTATTTTCAGTAATATAACTTTTATTTCGGAAACATAATTTTCAAGAATGTGCCATAAGTTAAACAACGAGCTTGCCGATCGGTCAGTTCTAAAATGATAACCGGTTTGACAGGTAATGCGCTTTTTATACCCAGCAATACCCAAACTCGTTACCAAGCAAGGAAAAAAGTAAAATGTCGTCACTTCCTTAGAAACGTAGGTCGGAAGACATGGGGCAGATCTCAAAACCAGAAACAATATATTTTGAATTGGTGTTTTTTTCAATCTCATTTTAAAGCTTTTAAACTTGCACTGTCAGCTTTAAGTAATGTTCATCAAAGTATGCTAGCTATATATAGGTTCAATAGGACTTTGACCTCTTCCTATACCCTTGACTTGTTGTTAACTGATCCACACCTTGTCATTAGGTACCGGTATATACATTTATATTCATGACTTGTGTATAAGTAAATTTTTAAATTTTTACCAACTACAATTGTGAACACACTACCGGTATTCAGCAATTCAAATAATCTACTTATTGATTTCACATAGATTTAGTTATATGGATTTCACACCTGATCCATGATGTTGATTTGCATCAAACATTGAAAATCTATGAAACGGCTATCATTTTATAAAATTAAGAATTAAGAAATGTGTAACATATATGCATCCCTAATTAGTAAACAGTTTAGCTAAATCAAAAATGTTCAGTTCTTGTACTTAAGCTAATGGTCACACCATCTATTTAAAGCTTCTAATATTAGCTATAGTCAGACTGCATAAGCACCTGCAGACTGGCAATTTAGTGTCAACTGATCACTTAATTACCATTGTCAGAATATAATTGTATTAGAATAAATAATTAGGATATTGGCAAGTACATTAGGCATAACAGGTTTACCAGTGCAAGAATCTTCCAATATTCCAAACGGAGAGGCCCTCTGGAATACAGTCTCACTGTCTGAGTTTTCTCATGGCCAGTCCCACTGTTTGAGAGCTTCTCTGATGCTCAGCCCTACTGTTTGAAAGCTTCTCTGGTGCTCAGCCCCACTGTTTGAGAGCTTCTCTGGTGCTCAGTCCCACTGTTTGAGAGCTTCTCTGGTGCTCAGCTCTACTGTTTGAGAGCTTCTCTAATGCTACGCCCTACTGTTTGAGAGCTTCTATAATGCTCAGCCCCACTGTTTGAGAGCTTCTTTGATGCTCAGCCCTACTGTTTGAGAGCTTCTCTGATGCTCAGCCCCACTGTTTGAGAGCTTCTCTGGTGCTCGGCTCTACTGTTTGAGAGCTTCTCTAATGCTCAGCCCCACTGTTTGAGAGCTTCTCTGGTGCTCAGCCCCACTGTTTGAGAGCTTCTCTAATACTCAGCCCCACCGTTTGAGAGCTTCTCTGGTGCTCGGCTCTACTGTTTGAGAGCTTCTCTGGTGCTCAGCCCCACTGTTTGAAAGCTACTCTAATGCTCAGCCCCACTGTTTGAGAGCTTCTCTGATGCTCAGCCCCACTGTTTGAGAGCTTCTCTGGTGCTCAGCTCTACTGTTTGAGAGCTTCTCTGATGCTCAGCCCTACTGTTTGAAAGCTTCTCTGGTGCTCAGCCCCACTATTTAAGATCTGCTCTGATACTCAGCCCTACTATTTGAGAGCTTCTCTGGTGCTCAGCCCCACTGTTTGAGAGCTGCTCTGGTGCTCAGCCACACTGTTTTAGAGCTGCTCTGGCACTCAGCCACACTGTTTTAGAGCGAGCCTCTTTGGGGCTCAGTCCCTCTGTTTGATAGCCTTTCTAGGGCTAAGATCTACTGTTTGAGGGCCACTCTGGATCAGTCGGTCTGTATAAGAGCCTATCAGGGTCAGGCCCCTGTTTGAGAGTTTCCCAGGGTCAGCCTTATCATTAAAGAGCCTCTCAGGGTCAGTCCCACTGTCTGACAGCCTAACATGGTGAATCCAACTGTTTGAGAGCCTCTCTGGAGCTAAGTCTCAGTGTTTAAAAACATCTTAGGTTCAGTATCACTGTTTGAGAGCCCACTGTTTGAGAGCTGCTCTGGTGCTCAGCCACACTGTTTAAGAGCGAGACTCTTTGGGGCTCAGTCCCACTGTTTGAGAGCCCCTTTGTCCCACTTTTTGACAGCCTCTTTGCAGTTTAGCCCCAATGTTTGTGAGCCTTTCTAGGGCTAAGATCTACTGTTTGGGGGCCACTCTGGATCAGTCGGTCTGTATAAGAGCCAATCAGGGTCAGGCCCCTGTTTGAGAGTTTCCCGGGGCAGCCTCATCATTGAAGAGCCTCTCAGGGTCAGTCCCACTGTCTGACAGGCTAACATGGTGAATCCAACTGTTTGAGAGCCTCTATGGAGCTAAGTCTCAGTGTTTAAAAACATCTTAGGTTCAGTATCACTGCTTGATAGCCTTTCTGGGGTTCAGTCCCACTGTTTGAAAGCCTCTCTGGGATTCAGTTTCACTGTTTGAGGGCCTCTCTGGGGTTAGGTCCCACTTCGAGAGTCCCACTGTTTGAGGGCCTTTTTGGGGCTTAGTCCCACTGTTTGAAAGCTTTAAGCCTCTCTTTGGCTCAGTCCAACTGTTTGAGGGCCTCTCTGGAGCTTAGTTCCACTATTGGAAAGCCTCCCTAGGGCCCAGTTCTACTATATGAGAGACTTTTTTTACAGCACAATATTGCCCAGGTTATTTACTCAAACGCAATACTATAGGACATTCTAACACAATCAAATTTCTGACATGGGTGACAATTTTCAAATCTAATGCTTCAGGATTCATTACTATGTAGCTACATTGTATCTGTACTAGTGTAACATGCAGGAATACAGAGGTTTAACATTTAGCTATTTAACAAAGATATTTTAATTTATGTTAACAGTACATCTTGTATCTCAGAAACCTACAGGAATAAAAGAATTCAGTCATCCAGCAATTAACCAATCTGTCATTATAATCATTTAACATTACAGCAGCAGTTACTTTAATATTGTAGTATTCTTACCAATCCTGGTCGGAGATAATTGTTGACAAACTCCTTGTATGAGATTTCTTTTTTTTGAGATGACATCATATACAAGTACACCAAGAGAGCTATTGCCAGGACACCTGGGATAAGCATCATTGCTCTTTCACGGTCACCTTTTGACCTGTTAAAATGTACAAGAGGCCCAGGGGCCTTAATAGCTCACCTGGTATTTTATTTTCAATTTAAAACCTGCTCAGTACCATACAGGTTTATCAAAGGAGTACAAGAAACAAAGCTGCAAGAAGAACTACACATGTAAATCTGTTTTGGTGGGTACGATACCAAGAAAATGAGTTTCTGTGTTATTATCCAAGGAGGTAGCCTCCAGTCTAGTCTGGACCTCAAGAG